GGGGCGTGGTAACAGGCAAAGGTAGGGGTGGGGATTAGAGCGGGGTTGGGGGGGGGGAGACCGTACACAGTTCCCACCCAAAGACAAGATGCTCAGTTTCTGCTGCTCCAGATGTCTCTACACAAGGGCCCAGGACACAAGCCGGGTAACAACCTACTGCCGAGGGCACTGGGCCTATTCTGGAAAAGCTCACAGCACTGCACTCCTCCCAGGTCTCTGGGGGGCTGTCTGGGGCTGGTGGGCATTTACTGGGGAGATGCACTCCTGATTCCACCAGAACTAGGATTAGGTGGGAAAGAATTCCGTGGCTCCAGCCTCTTTCCTTGAGTGTAGGCTTGGGTGGAGTTGACGGGACAGTGGTGTGACACCAGCCCAAGACTGGCCCACCCTGTCTTGAGCCAAGTTCTCTGACTAGGCTGAGGGGCTGGAACCTCAGCAGAGCGAGCACTCTACTCCGCATGGGGCATTTGAGCCCCAGCTCTCCATAGGATTTGAAGATCTCGCTCTTTTTTTTTTTTTTTTCCTGATTCCTCCCAGTCCTTGGGCAGACACGCTCAACTACATTCAGGCCAGGCGCCTCGCTGTACCTCAGCTACACAAGGCACGTTCCCTTCTCCCTCCCTCCTCATCCTAGGAAGGATCTCCCTTCTGTAAATTCTGCTAGTTCCTCAAGACCAAGCGTAAGTTCCCTCCCTTCTATTAAGTGGTTGCTTGACTTCTGCGGCCAAATCTCTCATATGGTATTTTTAATCTGTTCCACACAATCTGACCCAACCTATATTGTATTATTTACAATTTCACATAATTAGTCTCATCGAGTATAAGCGCCCATGGCACAGATCATGTTGTCCAGTCAGGCAGCCCTCAACGGCACCCCGTCGGAGTGCCAAGCTCCCAGGACATAATCAGTACCTTGTCGCCTTATTGGTGAGTGGCCCTCGGGTGACAATAGTGAGCCTCCCCTTGAGGCTCTATCAGCTTTGGAGCACCTTGGGTATTGGAAGCTCCATGTCCTCCCTCCCTCCCTCCTTCCCTCCCTCTGTTCTCCCTTCCTCCCTCATTGCTGATATTCCGCTAGAGATAAGTTTTTTCCCAGGGGCCCAGGGAGCTGAGATTGGCAGCTTCTTGAGCCCCCAGAGCAGCTTCTTTCTACTGGTTGCCCCAGGCTAGTTACACCATCCTTTTGTGTCCCCCCCCCCACCTCCCTTCCCTGTCCTACCTCCTTTCCCCTATTTCCCCTCAGGAATTTGTGCCTAAGATCTCCAACCTTAGGGGCATTTGACCTCCCACATGGAGCTCTTTGGTGTTTAGAAACTTGGGAGGAGCCCAGGAGGGCTTGGAGCTACTAGGAGGCTGAGGGTCTGACTGGTGCTCCAGATAAGGAGACCCTCTGCCTGGGGAAAGATGTTCAAGTAGCTTCTTGTTCCAGAGTTCTTTAGCCAGAGAACTCCTTGTCTCCCTGGGACCCTTCAGTAACGGCTACTACCCTGGCCGCATTGGTACTCCTCGTTCCTTGAAGGGAATGGAAACTTGTCCATCTAGACAGTAACTGTCCAGCCTTGGTAACTGAGTGCCCCCGTGACTTCTGGCACTGAGATTCCCCACCCCCCCACCCACCCAGTTCATCCTTCAGCTCTGGCTCTACTGAGAAGCTCCATTCCTCTCTCTACACTCAATACCCAAGGGGCCCATTTGGTTAACCCCTCTTCTTTAGACCTCAGAACTAGTACACAGTACAACCTCTTACCTGGAGAGGTCAGCTCCCTAGAAGCCTATAATGCCTACCTGTTGGAAGCGGGGTGGGGGGGTGACTCCTAATTGTTCCCCCAAGCCACCCAAACAAAGCTTTCTTGTTCTTAGTGAGTGCCACCCCCTGGTGGGGTGGGAGTACTTCTGGCCCACCACCAGAGGAGCCAGTTCAGGCCCCGCCCCCCCAGGCTTACCCCTTGGAGTGGGGCAGGGGTGGGGATGGGGGATGAGAGGCTGGGAGGCCCCAAGCTCAGCCTGATTTGGCTTCACCATCATTCCAGTGAAAAGAATTTGGCAGCATGGACTAGCAGAAAGAGGATATGATTTCTAGTTAGACCTGAGTTCAAGTTCTTGCTCTACTGATACCAGGCGAGTTTCCTGACCTTTCTGTACCTTAGTTTCCCAACACGTAAAATGTGGAGTCTCACAATCGCTGTGAAGATTAATAAAACAAAACAAAACTTAAAAACTACTTTGTAAATGAAAACTCCGCAAATAAGTGTACATTATAAGGAGGGACTACACTCCCACTGCATAACTAACAACTCACGATTATTTCTTCTACCCTGGAAAATGAACCTAAGGGAAAAGAAAAAACAGCTGTGTAGGCTGGGTCCAAGGAGGGGAGCTCTTTATGAGCTGAGACTGTGGCGTGGCAGTCTACCCAGAAATAGTGCCAAGGGTCTCAGTCAGCTGTCCTGTTTTCTGTCCGGCCCAACTCCTGGG